GGGGCAGGCTATTCTCATACAGGCTATATAAATGTAAAATGTCTACTGCAAAGTAATTCCCATCAAATTCAATAGGACTAACCCATCTCATGATTTAAGACTTAGATTATACTTCTGTGATTACTTACCTGGGAGTAAGTCCTGTTGAACTGAGTCAGTTTTCTGAGGAAGCATCTAAGACTGAATAACTTTGTGTGGCATAGACGATCTCTTGAGCATTCAAATAAATGGATGTATTTAACATGCACAAATGATGCTCAGTGGCATTATTTTTACTGTTCTCAAATCCAACAGAATGAAATATATTTCATAAATATTTTAACCAACTAGCAGGCATTCCAACCAATTTCAGTTTTTATTTATTCATTTAATTTGCTAAATGAATTAATGGATTTAAAGTTACTGCAGAGGGTGGGTGTTTTGTGACCAACTTCTTTTGCTCACGTTGTGCATGTGTAAATCTCATTCATGGTTCTTTCAGGCTTTGGTGCCCCGTTGTTCAGGTTATATTGCCCTATGACAGTTTGGTTCAGATCTGAGAAAAAAATAGCTAGATTGACACTGGTAATTCAAGTGCTCTGTCAAATGTGAGAAGCTGGAATTGGGGAAAGAATAGAGCGATGTGATGCTTTGGTTAGGGAGGGCTGCTGCATAAGCCCATGAAAAGATGCAGCTACTTTAAAGATTTGTGACAGTTGCTACATTGATGCCTCTACATACTCTTAAGTACATTTTTTAAAATTAAATCTGAAGAGCTCATAAATTTCAGTTTGGATTGCTATAAACCAGGGTTCCTCAACCTTGGCAACTTTAAGATGGGTGGACTTCAACTCCCAGAATTCTGGGAGTTGAAGTCCACCCATCTTAAAGTTGCCAAGGTTGAGGAACCCTGCTATAAACCATGCTGGTAATGTGAAAGTACTACTGACATCCTGTAATAACAGAATATTATTCAGACATTTCACATCTGATCCATAGGGATACCACAGCAAGGATGAGCCATTGGATCCTGTCCTGTAGATCTCCACATATTGAAATTGCCTTCCCCGTGATTGAAAACTCCAGTCTTCCAGATGCCAAACTATGTAGGAAACCTCCGTGATTGCTGCATGTTTCCCAATACTAAACCTCCTGTGATGTCAGGCCTAGCCCAAAGAACTCCTGGAGCCCATGCAGGTTCAATCAGCAAGGTTTATTAGCCAGCGCCTGTTTAC